GCACTGCTTCTCCCCGGTACCGGGACCCCCGCACCGGCACTGACACCCTCCCAGCACGCCGCTACCGGGATCCTCGCACCGCGAGCTCGGCTCCCCTCGTCCCCCGCTCCGGTGAGGACACCAGGACCCCGCGCCGGTACCGTAGCGGCCCCGGAGACCTGGCCCGGTGCCCCCGGTGCCCACCTTGGCGATCCGCCCGGCCATGGTGATCAGTGCCCGGTGCCACCGGGATGGGCTCCGTGGGGACACGCCTCTGGGCGGGCGGGACCAGGTTCTCCGACCGCGCCCCCGGCACGGGTGGGTGGGGACACACGGGCCTGGGGTGGCCGGGGACCCCCGTCACCCCGAGGTCCCGGGKGCGGTGGGTGACAGCGCCGGACTCCCACCACCCATGGGGAGCCTGACGGCAGCAAAACGGGACGCGGGGCCKCATCCCGGCTGTCCCGGCACGCCCSTGCCCGTCCCCCACGGCTGCCCCCGCATCGCCCGCCGTGTCCGGCTGATTTACGGGAACCTCCTTAATCTTTAACCAGGCACGGTCGGACCCGGCCAGATCCCCCGGCGCCCGCTGGACACGCAGGGACCGACCCGCCGAGCACCCAGGTGGGCTCGGGGTGCTGCCTCCTCCCGCCGCACACACACCCAGGRCCCCGGGGGGGACAGAGCGGGGGGACCCCGGGGTGGGGCTGCACGGGGTGGGGGTGCTGGGTGCTTCTCCTGCCCTTGACCTGTGCCCTCTCACCAGGATGCCCACCAGGACACTCTGGCTGCCTCTGGCGTGGCTGGTGGCCACAGCCACGGTCACTGTCACCCCGGTGAGTGTGACCCAGGGACGCGGGCTCCCTGTGCCCGACACCCCTCACCTGAGTCCCCCTTCTGGGTGCCCTGTGCCCCTCTCACGCAAGTCCCCGTGCCCAGGTGCTCRCTCTGGAGGCCTCTCCCAGCTGGATGACGCTGCTTAGAGAGCACCCGACCCCGCCTGTGCCCCCTGCTCCTGCCACGTCTCCCTCGCAGGACTTGGGGACACCTGTCCTGCCTGTGCCCACCCCCAGCGACCACCCCGAGTGGCTGCCTGGCTGGGATGTCACAGATGTTCCCAGCCCTACAGCGCCCGAGGGAGCACTGGAGGAGCCGRACACCACGGCCAACGACACCGCTCCGGGCACCAGCGCCCCGCTGTGCCCCGGTGACGAGGAGCCGGCCGAGACCTGCGGGGAGCCCACGGGGGAGCAGCGGGCGGCCGTGGCCGAGGCTCTGGGCACCTTCGCCCTCCGCTTCTACCAGCGCATGGCAGAGGCTGCCCAGCCCGACGCCAACCTGCTYTTCTCCCCCATCAACGTCGCCACGGGGCTCTCGCACCTGCTGCTGGGTGAGGGGCCGCCCGCGGGCACCGCCAGCGCCGTGTCACCGCTGTCCCAACCGGGCCACCTCGCTGAGCTTCCCCTGTGCCCGCAGGCGCCCGCGGCGAGACCCGGGAGCGTCTGGCCGCCCTCCTGGCGTACCCGCCGGGGCTGGGCTGCGTGCACGGTGCCCTGCAGGAGCTGGCCGGCTCGCCCGGCCTCTTCTCGGCCGCTCAGATCTTCCACGACCCAGGTGAGGCGGGCACCGGGTGCCGGCGGGGCGCCGCCGCCGGGTGGGCACCGGGCTGACACCGGGACCGCTCCGCCCCGCAGAGCTGCACCTCCGGCCCCGCTTCCTCAACGACTCGCTGCGCTTCTACGGCGCCCGCCCGTCCGCCCTGAGCGGCAACGAGAGCCTGGACCTGCAGCTCGTCAACGCGTGGGTGCGGGAGGCCAGCAAGGGGCTGCTGCCCACGCTGCTGTCCGCAATGCCCCCCGAGCCCCGCCTGCTGCTGCTCAGCGCCGTCCACCTGCGCGGTAAGGCCCCGCCAGCCGGCATCCATCCCCGGGCATGGGGCGGGGGGCTGAGGCCGCYCCGTGCGGCCCCCCCGGTGCCTCCCCGCTCCCCAGCCGCCGTGCCGTGTCCCCCGCAGCCGCCTGGCGCACGCCGCTGAACCGCAAGAAGACGGTGCCGCTGCCCTTCCTGCGGCCCGGGCACCCCCCGCGCGTCGTGCCCACCATGACCAGCGCCAAGTACCCGGTGGCTTCCTTCACCGACTCCCGCCTGCAGGTCCAGGTAGCCCTCGGCCGGGACCGGCCACCTGGCGCCGGGGGTCACTGCTGGCGGGAGGAGGGCATGGTGGCACTCCAGCGGCACTGAGGAGGGATGCCAGGCTGTGACATAACTCCTGCGGCACTCGGGGAGGATGCCAGGCTGATGTCACTCCCTTGGCACTGAAAAGGGCACAGGCTGTGACCTCGCTGCCCCGGGACTTTGGGGGAATGCCAGGCTGGCACCTTTCTGGTGGCACTGGGGGATGCCGGTCCGTGTTGTCCCCACAGTGGCCCTTAGGTGGGGGTCTGCCCCACAGGTGGGACGGCTGGAGCTCAGCGGGGAGCTGAGCCTGGTGGTGCTGATGCCACGGGGRCCCCTGGAGCCTCTGCAGACCCTGGAGCGGGCGCTGGACCCCCCGACCTTCCTGGGGTTGCTGCGGCGGGCGGCCCGCACCCCGCTCCGGGCCACCGCGCTGTCCCTGCCCCGCCTGCGCCTCGACCTCGCCCTGGATGTGGTGGAGCTGGTCCACGACATGGGTAAGGACACCCCTGGTGGCACCGCAGTGGCTGGGCGGGCTGCGGGGTCACATCACTCCCTGCGCGGTGACATTACTCCTTGCAGGATGCAACGGGTCCTCCCCTGGGGTCACCTTCCCCCGTGTCCCCAATGTCCCTGGTGTCCCCAATGTCCCTGGTRTCCCCACGCCTTTGGTTTCCCCTGGGTCCCTCCATGCTCCCGTGTCCCCCGTATCCCCGGATATGCCCTGCTCCCCCCAGCCCCCCGAATGTCCCCTTGCATCACAGTGTCCCAAAATTATCCCTGCTGTCTCTCATGTCCTCAGTGGCCCAAATATCCCCCAWCTCCCCGGTGTTCCCCACATCCCTTAGTGTCCCCTGGCGCCCTCCAGTGTCCCCGAYCTGTCCCCCTGGTTTTCTCTGGGTCCCTCGCGTCCCCGGGTTCCCTGGGTGTCCCCTCCATCCTGGATGTCCCCTCGGCCCCCACGTGCCGCGGGAGTGGCGCTGAGGCCGAGTGCCGCAGACTTCGGGCTGTTCCTGGACGCGGAGCTGTGCGGGCTGGCGTGGGGCCCGGCGGCGGTGGACGCGGCGCGGCACCGGGCGGTGCTGGCCCTGGACGAGGCCGGCGTGGAGGCGGCGGCAGCCATGGCCACCTCGGTGGCTCGCTCGGCSCTGGTGCTGGAGGCCCTGCGCCCCTTCCTCTTCGTCCTCTGGCACAACACCGGCGACTTTCCCGTCTTCATGGGCCGCCTCAGCGACCCCCAGCCCTGACTCTGCCCCTCCTGTGCCTGCCTTCCCTCCTCCCACCCCTCCCTCCTCCCACCCCTCCATCCTTCCCTCCCGCCTCCTCTTCTCCCTCCTCCCTCCATCCCTGCCTCCTCCTCTCCCTCCTTCCCTCTCTCCTTTACCCCTTTCCTCTCTCCTCCCATCCTTCCTTCCCTTGTCCCTCCTCCATTCCCTCCCTCCCTCCCCCCCTCCGTCCCTCCGTCCTTCTTTCCTCTCTGCAACCCTTGTCCCTCCTTCCTTTCCTTCTCTCCTCCCTCCCTCCTTCCCCTCTCCCCGCCATCTCCCCCCTTTCCCTCCCCATCTCCTCACCCTTCACCCGCCCCAGCTCGCCAGGGCACCAGGGGGACCCTGCTCCTCCCGTGCCTCAGTTTCCCCACCAGCTCGGGGTCCCAATAAAGGCACCGATCACCTCCCGGCTCCTGCGTGTGAGGAGGGGAAAGGGGCAGGCGGGGGCCACTGGTGYCCCCCACTCTGCGCCAAACTCTGTGCCAGAGCGAACCAGGGGTGGTGGCAGCGCCGGGGCAGGTGACACCCAGCACTTTTCTTAAAAAAAAAAAGCCTTTATTACCCTAGAAAAGCCCCGCAACCCCCCCGCCGCTGGTGCGACCCCGGGGACACCGGGGGGCACCCAGCGCCAGCCCCCCCAGTCCCAGCCGTGCCCTCGCCTCAGTCCCAGCCGTTCTCCTTCACCATGTGCGACATCTCGATGATGAACTTGCCTTCCTTGTACTTCTGGCTGCTCTCGAATGCCTGTTCCTGACGAGGGGGAGGAACGGGGCGGTGTCACCCATCCCATGCCCCGGTGGGCGCTGCCTTCCCAGGGCTCGGGGGTGTCTGCAGCAAAGCTTTGGGGTGCCCAGGCAGGGGTTGAGGCCCCCGGGCAATGCCCGCAGCGGGTGGGGATCMCAGCTGGGGGGCACTCACATATTTCCAGCCCAGGGTGGTCTTGCAGCTCTGGCAGAAGATATCGGCCACCGAGTGCAGCCCCGTCAGCAGCAGGCGCTGCTCAGCCGGGCCGCAGCCCACGTTCACCCTGCACCGAGAGCGGGGCATCCCACAGGCTCGGCACAGCCGGCCCGGGGACCCCCGGGGACCCTCGGGGACCCCCGCCCCACTGCCATCCCCGGGGTGGGCCAGTACTCACACGGAGTTGAACAGGTAGGCACGGCCATGGCTGCCCTGGAAGGACTGTGGGGACACRGTGAGTGTCACCGGTGGGTCCACCGTGTCCCCTGTCACCGCTCCCTCCCATCCCGATGCACTGCCACCAGCCTGGGGACACCGCAGGGGGACACCTGCCAGCTTGGGGGCACTCAGGGGGGCAGGGTCACCCCATGGGAGCATCACAGGGGACACCTGCCACCCGCGGGATGCCACGCAATGAGGGCACGCTTCCTGCGGCCACCGTGGGAATGTCCTCACCTCGGGACACAACACGGGGAGCACTCACCACCCTGGGGACACCACAGGGGGACACTTGCAGTGACACGGGCACCACGGCGGGGAAGCCGGCTGTCCCAGTGCCACCATGTGGAGAAACACTCTGGGGACACGGCGGAGGGACCCAGACCCCCCCCGGGGATACTGCAAGGGGAGCTCCCGCTGTCCCAGGCGCAGCAGGGACAGTCCCCACCCAGGCCGGGGGTGGCGGTGGCACCTTGGAGATGAGCTCCTCGTGGCGGGCCAGGTGCGCCCGGCAGTGGACGCAGCTGTAGGTGCGGTGCGAGCGCGGCAGGTAACTGCGGAAGGTGCGGGGCGGCAGGCGGGCGGCGGGGGGCAGGCGGCGGCGGGCCGGGGGCGGCATGGCCGGGGGCAGAGCCCCGGGGGGCACCGCGCAGCCCCCGCACAGCCGCTCGCAGGGAAAGCAGCGCAGCAGCGCGCCCAGAGCCGCCGTCCCGCCCGGCCGGGCGCGGGGGGCTCCGCCGGGGCCCCCCGGCAGAAGGAGGCGGAAAAGGGGGGCGGCCTGCGGAAAAGGGGGAAAGGGGGCGGTGAGGGAAGACCCCCTCCCCAATCCCCCCGGTGTGGGCGCTCCCCGTCCTGAGCCGGCTGAGGCAGCGCGGGGGCACCGGAGAACCGGGGGGGGAGCAAGGGGGGGCCGAAGGACTGGGGGGCGTCCCCAGCAGGGTCTGAGGTCTCTTCCCGAAGCCGGGGAGTCCCCAGGGGGAAGATGGGGGTCCCTAGGGAGAGTGATGGTGGCCCTGAGGGGGAAAACGGCGTGGGGGGGAAYAGGGAACCAGAGGAAGGATGATGGGAGCACCGACGGGGGGAGGATGGGGTCTTGAGAGGGGGGACGGTGGAGGTGCCGAGGGGCGGTGGTGAGGGTCCCTAGGGGTAGATTGTGGGTCCGGGGGAAGATGACGGGGGTCTCCAGGAGGGGAGAGGGCGCTGGGCGGGGGATGTTCGTGGTCGCGACGAAGGACAGGGGTACCGCCGTGGGGGGGCAATGTCAGGAGCGCCGGGGGACACGGAGGGGTCCTCGGTGGGGCTTTGGGGCTCTCTGCGGGACACGATGGGGGGGTACCGGGTTCCGTGCGCTCCCGGGGGCCGGAGCCGCTCACCGCCCGCCGCAGTCCCCGCTGCCGCCGCTGCCGCTGTCGCCGCCGCTGTCCCCGGGGCGGGCGCGGGGGGGGCCCTGCGTGCCCGGGGCCGCATCACGGCACCGTGACTCATCCCGCGGCCGTGACATCACCGCCCGCCACCGCTGCCGTGCCGTCACCGCCCGGCCCTCCAACGTCAGTCAGCCCGGCCGCCGGGGATGCGCTGCGGCCGCCGGCCCCTCCCGGTCCCGCATGTCCCCGCGGTTAGCCCGGCACTCCGTCCCCCTGTGTCCCCCATGTCCCCCAMGTCTCCSTGTCCCCCGTGTCCCCGTGACCCYTRTGACCCCGCATGTCCCCCGTGTYCCCCTACGTCCCCATGTCTCTCGTGTTCCCCCACGTCCCCGTGTTCTGCCTTGTCCCCGGTGTCCCTCCGTGCCTCCCGGTGCCCCCTGTCCCRTCACGTCCCCCGTGTCAGCCCGGTGAGATGTCAATCAGGCGGAAGCGGGACTGCGTGTAAATGTCATGCGAACGTCATACAAAGCAGCCCAGGACTCATCCCGAGGGATGGGGGTGGGAGAKGGGGRGCTTCCACTGTAATGAGATGCAAAYGAGAGGAGGGGCCGCTGGCGATATGCAAAYGAAATGCAAATTAGCAGCGGAGGCCCGGCAGACAAGCCCCACGTGATCCAGGTGTCCCACGTGATACATGCACATCACGTGACACAGGCACACCACGCTACCGGCGCCTCGCTCTGACGTCACTTCCGTCGCWGCCGCGGCGGGCGAGGGGCGCCGGTCCCGGGACCCCCGCGGTACCGCCATGGCGGACGATGGCGCCGAGGAGAAGAAGCAGGTGGCCAAGTTCGAGCTGGAGCGGGAGACGGAGCTGCGGTTCGAGGTGGAGGCGGCGCAGACGGTGCAGCTGGAACTGCTGACCGGCATGGCCGAGGTGTTCGGCACCGAGCTCACCCGCAACAAGAAGTTCACGTTCGACGCGGGCGCCAAGGTGGCCGTGTTCACGTGGCACGGCTGCACCGTGCAGCTCAGCGGCCGCACCGAGGTGGCCTACGTGTCGCGGGACACGCCGATGCTGCTGTACCTGAACACGCACACGGCGCTGGAGCAGATGCGGCGCCAGGCCGAGCGGGAGGACGAGCGCGGGCCCCGCGTCATGGTGGTGGGGCCCACCGACGTGGGCAAAACCACCGTGTGCCGCTTGCTGCTCAACTACGCCGTGCGCCTGGGCCGCCGGCCCACCTTCGTGGAGCTGGACGTGGGGCAGGGCTCGGTGTCCATCCCCGGCACCATGGGMGCGCTGTACATCGAGCGCCCGGCCGACGTGGAAGAGGGCTTCTCCCTCCAGGCTCCCCTCGTCTACCACTTCGGCTCCACCACGCCCGGCACCAACATCAAGCTTTACAACAAGGTGAGCAGCCCGGGGGGCTCACACCGCGTTGGTTTTGGCCCCGGAGCTCCCAGGCTTCCCCCCGCTCCCCGCCCCTCATGCAAGAGGGTTCTGAATCCCCGTGGTGCTCCCGCTGCTGCTGTTTGGGGACAGCATTTTAAAAAAAGTTTCAGCCTCGTGCATGGCCAGTTATCGGATCAGGGTGGGGAGGGAGAAGGAGACGAAACTGGTTAAGGGAACTGGAGCACCTCCCCTATGGAAAGGCTGAGTGAGGTGTGGCAGTTCAGCCTGGAGAAGRGAAAGTTGTSTGGTGACCTCAGAGCAGCCTTTTCAGCCCTGAAYGAGCTACAGAGAAGCTGGAGAGGGAGTTTTTTTTGTCAGGAACTGGAGTTGTAGGATGGGGTGGAAGGGGTTCACAGTGAGAAGGGGAAATTTGGGCTGGRTATTGGGAAGAAATTCTTTTACTRTGAGAGTGGTGARGCCCTGSAGGGTTGCCCGAAGAGGCTGTGGATGCCCCTGGATCCCTGGAAGTGTCCAAGGCCAGGTTGAACAGGGCTGGTGGAAGGTTTCCCTGCCACAGAGAACTGGGTGGGCTTTAAGGTCCGTTCCARATCAGACCATTCTTCAATTCCACGATTTTACCCGGGGTGGCTGCTCAGAATTGAGGCCTTGAAGGTACTCAAGGAGCTGGGGACAGAGCTGGGGACAGAGGTGGGGACAGAGGTGACTCTGTGTGACCCCTCCTCCCATAGATCACGTCGTGCCTGGCCGACGTYTTCAACCAGAGGTGCGAGGTGAACCGGCGGGCGTCGGTGAGCGGCTGCGTCATCAACACCTGCGGCTGGGTCAAGAGCTCGGGCTACCAGGCGCTGGTGCACGCCGCCTCCGCCTTCGAGGTGGACGTGGTGGTGGTGCTGGACCAGGAGCGCCTGTACAACGAGCTCAAGCGGGATCTGCCCCACTTTGTGCGCACCGTGCTGCTGCCCAAGTCTGGCGGCGTGGTGGAGCGCTCCAAGGACTTCCGCCGCGAGTGCCGGGACGAGCGCATCCGCGAGTATTTCTACGGCTTCCGSGGCTGCTTCTACCCGCACGCCTTCGATGTCAAGTTCTCCGACGTCAAGATCTACAAGGTGGGCGCTCCCACCATCCCGGACTCGTGCCTGCCGCTGGGAATGTCGCAGGAGGACAACCAACTGAAGCTGGTGCCGGTGACGCCGGGGCGGGACATGGTGCACCACCTGCTGAGCGTCAGCACCGCCGACAGCCCCGATGACAACATCTCCGAGACCAGCGTGGCCGGCTTCATCGTCGTCACCGGCGTGGACCTGGAGCGCCAGGTCTTCACTGTGCTGTCCCCTGCCCCACGGCCCCTCCCCAAGAACTTCCTGCTCATCATGGACATTCGCTTCATGGATCTCAAGTAGGGGAAGGGCGGGCTGTGCCCCCTCCTCCTCCTTCTCCTTGTGCTCCCTCCTTGTGCCCCCAGCGCGGTGTGACCCCGGTGCGGCATCCGCCCCTCTGTTTTATACTTTTTGTACAGTTTGCTATTAAATCTGGAAGCTCTTTGCYGCTGGTGAGCGTCTGCTGAGGTTGGCGTGTCCCCGGGAGCCCGGCGATTGCCGGCCCGGCGCTCCCCCSGCGGCCGCAGTGCACAGCGCCCGGTCCCGGCCGTCCGCCCCCCCCCGCCTCCCGAGGTGGTACGTCCCGCGCAAGCGCACGGGGCTCCGGCTGCGTGGCCCCGCCCACCGCGGC